GAACCAAATTGCCTAAATTCGTCCATAGGAAATATGCATCTCTAGTTAATAATGATGTCGGGACTCTACTGCAAATCGCCCAGCAAACAATCGCCAAAACCATGAAAAAAAAATTCAAAAAAAAATTTATTTCCAACCTACTGACCCTAACTTTTTCATGATATGAAACCGGAACCACAGGTATTTTTTTTACACCTAAGCATTTATCATAGACGGATTTTCAGTGATGGGTGGGGGAAATTTTGGGAGGGATGTGAGTGACAGGGTGCATACCTTCTACAGAACAAGCTGCAGCATGGGGTCTGGGACACAGTAACTAATGAGGGTCAGGAAATTGAAATTTTTGGTCCTTTTATGCAGTTCAAAATCATTGTTTTTAGTATATAACTGTACCTAGTTCAAAATCTTTATTTCAATCATACTACTGTAATTTATCCCAATGCAAAATATTTTTATTGCAGTGCACACCCCACTACACCCCCCAGAAAATCTGTCCATTGCATTTGTCAATATAGACTGTACAATTATATTACATGGAACAAAAACTGTCAAACATGTGGAAGATCATCATCACTGTCTGAGGACAATTCATTATGTACATTTACATCCTTCAGTGCTTCATCCAATTCCCACAAATATGTTTCCTTGCTTACCTTGCTTCCTATTAGCAGTTCCATTGTGTAATCAAAGTTTGGGATGTCCAAAAAAATTTCTTGAATAACCAGTATTTTGATAGCATTTTCAAATGAGAATACAGGGCAAGTATCAAGTATGTCACCTATGGTAAATATTCTGGAACAGTTCTTGACTACATCATCCACTAAATGAGGTGAAAAACAGTGTCCTGAAAAATTGTCCAATAAATGACTGCCTTGTGTGAGAGAATGCTTGATTTCATGAAGTGCTCCTTTAAGATCTGACATATCTTCATTACTTACAGGTCTGGTCAGGTCTGGCACTTTGTACAGTTCAGATAACAGGGGGTATCTCTCTCAAATTCAGGGGGAATACATAGGCATTGTTCTTCCTGGCAATCACACAATGCTGAACAGTTCTTACAACATAAATGTGGTTGTTGCAAAGGCTGTATTCTATCGTTGAGAACTTTGTAGGCAGCAACACGCAAACAACTTTCTGTCTTTACTAAGTCTTTCACAGGTTCTTCACAGTATGAGAGTTGCTGGCCATAATAAATAATTCTGACATGGCTTTGTAGTCCATCTCTGCCAGCTCTACCAATTTCTTGATGCTGTTCAAGAATATTTCTTGCTGGTCCAAAGTTTATGATATATCTTATGCTGGGAAACTTTACTCCCATACTGAGGGCTGATGATGCAACGACAACTCTTATTTTACCAGAGGTAATCTTTAGTGAATCCAGTACACGTTTTTTATTCCGTTCCCACGAGTTCGAGTGGTATATGCCAACCAAACAGTTTCCCTGCACCTTGGGCTGTTGTGGAGCATATGCTGCTTTATCAAGCTTTAGCATTAAATAATTCACTACACACCCAATGTCATTCATTGTATTACAGAATATTATTGTCCTCGGCATTTCAGCACTGTGCTGTTTAACAGCTTCAACTATCCAGTCCAGTCCAGTCATGATGGCTTCCTTCTTATACTTTTCTACAGAGAAACGAATATTCTGTCTGTTGGGACTGATTATGATTTTAAAGGGGTTTTTAAGGGCAAGTTTCTCTTCTACAACAGCAAGTGTTCTTTCATCTGCTGTGCCTGTTAATGCAGCAACTGGAGTACCTGTAAATATAATTTAAATAAAAGTGAAATAAGTTTTGACCTCTTGTCCATGCATTCAGATCTGTTATAGCCTGTGTAGCAGCTCTCATGGGAAAACCATTCTTTAAAGTCACTGGATCAATTTCGTAAAGAATGACCTGGTTCTGAAATTTCAAATTCAACTCACTAGTTGAATCTTAATGAAGACAATTGTTTCAAAATTAATAGGAATTAATAGGAAGCAAAGCTTATTCCAGTATGTAAACAAAATTAGCAGCGATTTGTAATCACTAACAAAAGTTTTATAGAAATAAATGAGGTTTAATATACAGAACAATAAAAAAATAAATAAATATTATCCTCACCTTCTTTTCGAAACGATCGTAACATTGCAAGTTTTCCATAAGCCGTACGGAAAGCTGTGTAATTGCGTTTTCCTCTACGTTTCTTCTCGCTGTTAAACAAAAATATACAGTGACCACATGATTTCATAAATGATATTTTCGATACGTGTGCCGTTCATACATTTCATAACTACATTTACTCACTCACTAGTAAATTGTTGTAAATATATTGACGGTGCTTACCTTATCCCACCCCAAGATTGTATTGTATGCGTTTCATCTACGACGAACGCTGCCAGGTTTTCGCTGAAACTAGAAGATATTTTCAACTTCTGAATAAACTTCGGATCCGTAACATTCTCTGCAGATCCGTACACAATACGATATTTACCACTTAAAATATCTTCCATATTGTTTTCAATGTAGTCGTCAAGAGAGCATGCTGTTATTCCCATTGATGTGAGCTCTGATATCTGGTCTGCAATAATACTTTTTAAGGGAACGACTACAAGCACACAACTTTGTTGTGTTAAGAGTGCGAGCGAAATATCAAACTCTTCCCAAATCCCGTGGGCATCACAGCAACGGTATCTCTCTTCATGAATAAATGTCGGAGACACATTTTTTGTTCATCCTTGAATGAGAAATCGGAGCCTTTAAGCTCTTTTAAGAAATGCAAAACACGCAAGAAACACGTCTCAAACGCATCCGCCATGTTTGTTCAATCAAGCTGCCAATCAATGATATTTTAGCATAAATTAGCATATTGTTTATTTTGAACCAATCAGATTTCTCGTTCTCTAAGACTACGTGCACACGGTAACGTTTTCGAGTGTTTTCATTTGCGTTTTCACGCTAAAACGGATGCGAAAACTATTAATTTACGACTGAAGCTGTAGTTTATTTAATATATTGGAGATATTTTCCTTTGAACCACGTGAACAGGGCATCAAAGCGATTAAAGGGACAAAAACGTTTTTGAAAACGCTCGAAAACGACGCCCGTGTGCACATAGCCTAAGAGAACGAGTAAATACGGGAAAGCATGGGGTTTCGTGCAGGCTCTCCTTTCCTTGGAGCTAGTCCACTGAGAGCCTGCTTCGCAGGCTAGATTTTTACTGACATTCACTCTTAATATAGTTATCATTAGTAATCTTTAGTTTTTAATTTACTACTAAAACTTGCGGCGTAAATTACGTATGGAAATATTTCTGCATTAAATACAGGATGAACTTATGAAGATACGTTTATGTAATGTGTTTGAAAAATATAGGAATCCAGTTAATGGTTAGTTAGTCGTCTACGGAGTCCTGGTTGAAAAACACTGAGTCCAGGTTTCTATCCTCATTTCCCAGGCCATGAATCTGCAAAGACCACGAAACTGTAGTTCCAAGCCCGTGAGTGCTCACTAGAAACCGTAGAGTCTAACCAATATTGAAGTATTGTAATTTGCAACATACTTCCATCGTTGACATCACGGTATAGTGGTAAAGACTCGGGCCATCATGAGCGAAAGTTGTGGACCATTCCCAGGTAAAATTCTCGTACCTTTTTGTATAATTTTTTCTTTATTTCTTTTTGCCATTATTTTTCCCAAAAGTGTCCAAATTGCTCCTCATAACAGCTTAATACTCATACTTTGATAATATTTTGTATATTTGGACAATTTTGAGTCGATTTAACCAAGGATGACGAGGGATGAACAAGGATGAAGACGATTCTTGTGTAGGGTGAAATCGAAAAAATCTACATACAGCCAGCTATTTCTTACCAGCTTCCGTCGTTGCCATCATGGTGTAGTGGTCAAGACTGAGACCCCCTTTACACGAGCCCAGGTTGACTATCAACCTGGAACCCGTCTACGAATAAATCTCTATTAGCGTTTACACGATAGCCGGGTCAGCCTTTCACACCTCGCCAACCCGGAGCACCCTTCCCGAGACCCGGGTAGACCCCGGTTGGCGAGGTGTGAACGCGTGAAAAGTTTATTCATTTCTTCATGTAAAGCCGGGTTGGCTTGACCGGGATCATGTGAAGTGCGGTAAATTCGTGATTGTGAACTTTGCACCTAGCGTCATATCGAATTCAACATTTTGCGTGCGTATTTTCTCCGTCTCTGTTTAGTACAGATATCTCTGAAGGATTATAAGACGGAGCTGAGATGGATTATAAAAATATAGATTTCAACTCCGATGTATTCAAAAGCGAGCTTAAGATCTACAACGCGAACTTACGACGCGGACGTCGCATTAAACAAGTTTTATTTCTAAACGATGGCAAATACCATTAAAATATTTTTATCAAAGTAAATAAAATGAAATTATACTGGAAAAAATGTACAACATAACAGAGGCTAGCAATATATTAAGATATGATGAGATTAAATGTGCAAAGCGTTTGAGAAGGAAAGCAGAAAGAAAATGGAGACGTACTAAACTTCCGACTGATTTCCTTGCTTTTAAAACTGCGAAAAATCATACGTTTCTTATGAACCAAGCGCGGCAAAATTTCTATAGACAGTTTATCTCAGAGAACAGTCAAGATCAAAGGAAACTATTTCGTGCAACTAAAGGTCTTTTTAGACATGATTCTGATCTTGCCTTTCCCCACTATAACGACAGCAATGCTCTCTCTAATGATTTAGGACAATTCTTTGCTCAAAAGATTATCCGAATATTCGCTCTGAACTTGATACAGCATCAACCTATGAACAAGCAGTTTTTTCTGACATGCCGTCGGTCTCACTGAACAGTGACCAGATTTATCAAGAATTTTCTCCTATGAGCGATGATGATACTGAACGGCTAATAACCTCGTCAAACAAGAAATCTAGTTCCTTGGATCCTATCCCAACTAAATTGGTCGTCGAATGCCTGGATGTTCTTCTGCCTGTTATTACCAAAATGATTAACCTTTCACTAGAGTCTGGCATTTTCCCATGTGTCTGGAAAGAGGCTGATGTCCAGCCAAGACTCAAGAAACAAGGCTTGGAAGTAATATTTGAAAACCTACGACCTATCTCCAACCTCCCATACGTTTCAAAACTAGTCGAAAGGACAGTTTGCAATCAATCCCATAATCATCTATCAGTTCATCATTTGTACCCTGGTAATCAATCGGCATATCGAGAATTTCATAGCACCGAGACAGCACTACTGCGTGTTAAGAACGATATACTTATGAACATGAATAGGCAACACGTCACTTTACTTGTACTGTTCGACCTCAGTGCTGCGTTTGATACCGTCGATCATGTTCTCCTACTTCAGCGCCTGCAATTGAAATTCGGTCTATCTGGAACTGTTCTTAAATGGTTTACATCTTACCTTTCTCAGCGAACACAAAGAGTTACAGTTGGCGGTGTGTCTTCCGAGAAATTCAATGTTGATTGTGGTGTTCCTCAGGGATCGTGTCTAGGTCCGCTTCTGTTCGTTCTTTATGTAAGCGAACTACTTGAGTTAATAGAGCGTCACCTACCAGATGCACATGCTTATGCCGACGACACCCAGCTTTATATCTCGTTTCGCGCAGATTCTCGTATCGACCAAGAAACTGCAGTCCGAACTGTTGAGATGTTCATTGATGACATCAAACGATGGATGCTTGCTAATAGACTGAAACTCAACGAGGGAAAAACTGAAGTAATTCTAATCGGCACGTGGCAACAACTCGAAAAAATCGACTTCAACAATATTCGTGTTGGCAGCAATGTTGTTACTTGTGTTGAGAACGCCAAGAACCTCGGCTGCTGGTTTGACTCGCAGATGAAAATGGACACCCATGTTACTAAATGCTGCAAAGCTGCCTTCTTTCACCTTTATAACATTAGACGTATTAGGAAGTTCCTCGATCAACATACAACTCAGATTCTTGTGCAGGCTTTCGTTATAAGCCGCCTGGACTACTGTAACAGTCTTTTTTATGGCCTTCCTTCAACCCAATTGAGGAAATTACAAGCTGTTCAAAACGCGGCAGCCTGGCTTATCTGCAATACTCCTCGGTTCGATCATATCACTCCTGTCTTATATGATCTTCATTGGCTCCCGATTAAGTCCCGCATCGACTTTAAAATCCTCCTTATTACATACAAGGCCCTAAACAATCAAGCTCCAACGTACATTAAAGAGCTCCTCTCAATTAAAAAACCCATCAGTTACAACCTTAGATCCCACTCTGATCCGTGTCTACTAGAACGCCCCAGACTTAAAACTCTTAAGACCTTGGGTGATCGATCATTTTCTCTCGCTGCCCCAACTTTATGGAACGCTCTTCCCAAAGCTATCAGGATTGCATCCTCAACAGCTACATTTAAAAAGTTACTAAAGACATTTCTATTCTTAGAAGCTTTTAATTAATGCTTGTGCATGTTCCATTTTTACTTCTAGTTATCGCTGTGATACTTTTATAAATTCTTAACATTATTGTAATATATTTTTATCTAATATTTATAATTTGTATATTATTTATTACTGTAAGAAGCGCACTTGAACATATCCACATGAAAAATGCGCTATACAAATGTAATTTCATTATCATTATCATTATATTTTTTATCTAAGTTTTTACGACTTCTATGACGACGAATCTTTGCAAATATCACGTCGTCTCGGATGCTAGTTTTGGCGGGAAAATGTGCATTCGTAACAATAGTCTATAAAGCCTGGTTTCTATCATTTCGTATGGCTGTTAACGTGTCATAACAGTGTCACAAATCTCGCAGAAATAAACTGTGACAACTCTGACTAGGCTTACACTCGAAAACTAGGCTTAGGTAAGCACGTCCGCGTCACAAATTCGCGTTGTAGATCTTAAGCCCGTTCTCCACTAGGCGAATTTATTCGCGCGAACAGATAAAAAGTAGGAAGCGATCCTACTTTTTCGCCGCGAATTTTTTCGCCGACCAATCACGTTGCCGGATTTCGGTTTTCGCTTCGCGTCGCGCGAACAAATTCGCGTAGTGGAGAACGGGCTTAAAGCTCCCTAAAGTTGCGCGAAGGTATGGCGTTGGCGTTCGATGCCGAATTTTTGAGGAGCTATCAAGAAAGAAAGAAAAAACTTGTTTAATTAAGGCAGAATTAAGTTGCTATATGGTTAAATCACTGATAAAAAGGGATATAATCGTGTACTGAAAGATATAAGAGCCCAAACTAAAAGGAATATGATCGAGTCAGCCCAGTTTGAGAATTGCTGACCCGGGTTGGCAAAAATTGTCGTCAACCCGGGTTCATGTAAACAGAATAAAAAAATAACCACCTGTGGCGTGCTCACCCGGGTTGAAAATCGACCTGGGCTCGTGTAAAGGGGGCCTCAGGCCATCATGAGCGAATCTAGTGACCATTCCCAGGTAAAATTTCCGTACCTTTTTGTATAATTTTTTCTTTATTTCTTTTTACCATTATTTTTCCCATTATTTAGTCACCAAATCGCTCCTCATAACAGCTTAATAGTCATATTTTGATAATATATTGTATATTTGGACAATTTTGAATCGATTTAACCAACGAAAAAATCTACATACATCTGGCACAACGCAAAATATTGAAGTCGTGTAATTTGGTACCTGCTTCCATCGTTGACATCATGATATAGTGGTAAGGACCGAGGCCATCATGAGCGAAAGTCGTGGACCATTCCCAGGTAAAACTCTCTAAAAATTTCTTTTTGCCATTATTTTTCCCAAAAGTATCCAAATCGCTCCTCATAACAGCTTAATACTCATAGTTTGATAATATAGTGTATATTTGGACAATTTTGAGTCGATTTAACCAACGAAAAAATCTATGTACATTTGGTACAACGCAAAATATTAAAGTGTTGGGCGCTTAAGATCTACAACGCGAATTGGTGACGCGGACGTGCTTACCCACGAGTGTAAGCCCAGTCAGAGTTGTCACAGTTTATTTCTGCGAGATTTGTGACACTGTTATGACACGTTAACAGCCATACGAAATGATAGAAACCAGGCTTTATAGACTATATTTTTAAGCCGACACGTTCGTGAGGTAGCGTGTCTGCTAAATTTATTAAAAAAATACCTCGTATCTCATCGATATTATACCATTTTTGGGTCAAATAAATATAAAGTTCTTGTGACTGAGTGGATATACATCTCGTGTTGTTTAATTGTGATTTTTGGAACTACTGTACTATCGTGTAAGTCTGTCGTGTTACAGTGTCTGTCACAACCAATTGGGATTTTTTTGGTCATTGTCTTGGCTTCTTATTGGATTTATTTAAAATATACTCTGTATTCTACGTACTTTGGTCCTGTGATCGTGTTAAGTTTTGGTATATTGGCGACACAGAGTAGATAAGACATACAGAGACGTAACTGACCGTTGTAAACACTGCGGAAGATTACGTTATCACGTACCCACTTTTTTTCAGGCGACCGGGCGAAAAATGATCAACTGCGCGTGCTCAGCAAGTTTAAAGTGAGTCGTCATCAGGTCGTCATCCAATCAGATGCATGCATCTAGTAACTTGCCGAGCATGCGCACAAAAAAAGTGGGTACACTAGTTACGTCTCTGTATGTCTCTACTCTGTGTTGGCGATAAATTGAATTTTTATAATACGCGGTTTTATATATTTGACCGTTGGAATTTTTTTGAATGATTTGCGTCTAGCGTCGTTCGTCATGGCAACACATTCATGTTCTTGCGATGGAGTCTCCTTCGCCTAAAAAGTAGTTTGAACTGTGGTATTGTTATTGTCTATTTACTCGTAACAATCTGGTGGATTATTGTTCATTATCGCTGTTTGTTGTACAGTTTGATTGTGATTTTTCTCTTTTTGATGTTGTATTATTGTACTGTCCTTTAGTTGACCTTTGACTTGTCTATTTACTTCTCCAGTTTCACATTTTGGGATTTCCCCCACATTAAACATGGTTAGATACATTCTGAATGTTTTAAACACTTTTCTCATCTGGCTTCTTACTGTCATTGTCGTTGTTTGGCTATCTACTCGAGCTAAGCCACAACTCGTTGTTTTGGACGATGTTAAAATTTTCGATAGCGTATTCATATCTTCGGAACTAACCACTTTACCCGATAAACTTACTTTTATTTGGACGTCAACACGAGACACTTCTACGCGGAAATTGAACTATCCTTGCAAGATTCGTTATGGTTTGGAGTTCAATATCAAGCAAAAAAGCCTGCATTTAGTGTTGTGCATCCTCCTTGCTGGTGACATAGCTATGAATCCTGGTCCCACTACTATAGCGAATGCACAGTTTGGCAACTTATCTAGGTCACATATACAAGCTCCCGCGATTGAGCCCTCTAAAAATGAGTTTGGTCCATCCATCGCTCTCGCTAATATGATGTCTCTCGCGCCAAAGATTGACGAACTGAGATGTTTTGTAAAAGATACAAAACCTGATTTAATTTCACTAACTGAAACCTGGCTTAATGACTCTGTTAGCGAGCATCATATTAACATTCCTGGTTTTAATTTATTAAAGAACCGTAGCTCTGGTGTGCATGGAGGTGTTGGACTATACGTTAAAAGTTCCATCCAGTTTAAGGCATTGACTGACATCTACCACTCTGAGCTTGAGGTGCTATGGACATACGTCAAACCCGCGCGACTTCCCAGAGGTATCCCTTGTATAGTATTTGGAACTGTGTATCACACCCACTATCCTGTAGGTGCCAGTGACAATGCGATGTTGGATTACCTCGCTTCATCGCTGATAACTATCGAAGGACGTTACCCTGGTTGTGGCATATTGCTTACTGGTGACTTTAATCGTTTGAACGTAAGTCGTCTCCTTAAGCAATTCAAGCTAAATCAACTCGTCCATGGTCCAACGAGAGGTGAGCGGACTCTCGACCTCATTATTACGAACATGCCTCAACTGTATGAGAAGAACTGAGTTCAAAGCTTTCCACCTTTCGGGTTGTCGGACCACTCGGTGTTATTGTTACAGCCTAAATCAAGAACCGTACGAAGTTGCAGCCGTCGTTTCGTGACTCGCAGGGATACTCGATTGAGCCGAAGACTTGAACTCGGGAGGTATCTTAGCTCGATTGACTGGTCGGTTGTTGATTCCATCACTGGATGTGAAAACAAGTTACTACTTTTTGAAGATCTGATTAAAACTGGTGTCGATATTCTCATGCCACTAAAGTCTGTTAAACTACACGTCAACGACGCTCCCTGGGTCACCCCTGAATTCAAAAGTTTGATCAAACAACGCCAGAAAGCCTACGCTGAAGGTGCTCAAGTCAGGTATCGACAGCTTCGTAATGTGGTTAATCGTGAGCGAAAGAAGCTTCGCAGCCGGTATTACAACACTAGAGTTGCGAACCTGAAAAATACCAAACCGAGCATGTGGTGGAACGAGGTTAAAAAGATCTCGGGGATGGTCCCTGCAACGTCGAATGTTGATATTCGCTCGCAGCTTCACATTGGCGGCATTGATGGAAAGTCAAATAAGTATGTAGCAGACCTTATTAACACCTCTCTCCTCGAACCCATGCAAGCATACCGACCACTTGCCTGTCTTCCTCCATTCGACGAAAAATCCGAGGTATTAAAGCTTGATGTATATTCTGTGTATTCGAGATTACTAATGTTAAACCCCCGCAAAGCGTGTGGTCCAGACGAGGTGCCTAACTGGCTACTTAAAGAATATGCTGAATTTCTTGCAAACCCTGTTTGTAACATCTTAAACAGTTCATTTGAGGAACAAGCGCTTCCAGCATCATGGAAATATGCCAATATCACACCACTGTCTAAGACGAAACCGGTTTCAATTATTGCTAAACATATAAGACCCATCTCGCTAACATCAGCTCTATCGAAGTTAGCTGAGGACTTTATCGTTATGAATTATGTTGGACCTGCTTTTCTTGAAATCATCGATCCCAATCAATTTGGTGCCATCCCGAAGTCGTCTACTACTCAGGCTCTTGTATCCATGATGCATGCGTGGACTTCTGCCACAGATGGAACAGGTGCAGCAGTGAGGATCATATTGCTAGACTATAAAAAAGCCTTTGATCTGATCGACCACCGCATTCTAGTTGACAAAGTCCTTTCCCTTCGAATACCATGTGGTGTAGCTCGGTGGGTGTGTGATTTCCTATCAAACAGATTCCAACGTGTAAAGTTGTCATATGATTGTTTCTCTGAATGGGGTGCTGTTCCGTCTGGTGTCCCTCAGGGAACTAAGCTAGGACCCTGGTTGTTCCTGTTAATGATCAATGACCGCAATCCATCTGAAGCGCATGCTTGGAAGTATGTAGATGACACCACGTTAGCTGAAGTTGTTCCACGGAATGGCAAAACCTTTATCCAGAACGCCGTTACTGATGTCGAGAGGTGGTCTAATGTCAACAAGCTCCAACTGAATGCTGACAAGTGTAAAGAAATGGTCATTGACTTCAAGAAACAGAAACAACAGTTTGACGCAATCACAATCAACTCCAAAGAACTCGAACTGGTTAGCAGTGCCAAGGTGTTGGGAGTTATCATATCCAGTTCACTCCAATGGGTTGACCATGTAAACGAAGTAATCAAGAAAGCGAATAAACGTTTGTATTTCTTGATCTTGCTCAAGCGTGCTAACGTCCCTGCTTGTGATATTGTCAATTTTTACTGCACTGTTATTAGACCGGTTCTCGAGTATTGTGCTCCTGTTTTCCATCATGCTCTCCCTGCATATTTATGTGATGACCTTGAGCGCATTCAAAAGCGCGCGCTGTCCATAATATCCCCGGGGTTATCATATACGGACAATCTTATGAAATTGAATATAAGTTCCTTGAGAGACAGGCGGCTAAAACTGTGTAAGAAACTATTTCAATCAGTTATATATATCTGATACCGAGCACAAACTTCACCATCTTCTGCCACCCAAGAATATCTCAGCATATAATCTGAGAAGACAGCGACCTTTTGACTGTCCGACTACACGAACAAATTGTTTTAGGAACACTTTTGTCGTTTCTATGTCAACGGAGTAGTTTAAAAGGATATTGGTGGGGTTCTGATATGACTTCCACCACCATTGCCGTTGCCTCGCGTCAACCATTTGCTTTTATACTTGTTTTTGGGTCTTTCTAGCTGTGCTTACAACTTTGGTTGATCTCTATTTTAGCGGTGGTGGTGGTGGGGACATATCTGAATTTGCGCTGATGTCATATAATATGTAATACTATTACATTTATTAATATGTAATTGTGTATGTGTTGTTTTTAATTTGCTTGTAATATGTAAGTTTTGTTAATTTTACACAATTCAGCCAATTCGGCTGCCATGTAAAATCTATTAAACTATCTATCTATCCATCCATCTAGTTTTTTGTATTACCATGTATTTTGTATTTCCTGAGGGCAACCAATCTCATCTGGAATGTGAATCTCCAGCATTAGACAAATAAAAATAATGTAGTACACATTGTGTACTTTGAGGGTCATATTCAGTAAACTAATAATTATGAATATATAAATATATAATTGGTTGGAAAGGATGTGATATGTTGCTGGGTACATTCCATACACCACATTTTATACAGTTATATACTTACTCTTCTTCTGTTCTCTTCCTTTTTCTGTACAAAGTTGTACAGTTTTTACACCCCTTTGTTTTTGTCTTGTAGCTCAGACCAGGAAGACACAAACCCATGGGTTTAAACAGCCTGCCTCAAACCCTGATCACCCATTTTCTGCTGGGACATTTTATCTTGGCATTGACAATTTCAAAGCAGCACCTACATTCTTCTGGCTTCACAATCAATTCCAGCGAGCAATTGCCATAACTACACCTAAAACCCATGTAAACATTGTCATTGTGAGCTATGAAGTCAAATATAGTTGTATCCAGATTATCTGAGCAATATACTTGTCAAATATAAACATCCTCATAATTGTAAAAGTGTAAAGAAAGTTACCAAAGAACGGTGGATTTTTCTCCGGTTAATTGGGACCTAAGCTCATGTAGTTCCTCTTCCATGTGTGCCACAACTTGCAAATAACTGTCGTGTTTTTCTTCCGTGGCAATAGGATTGGCTGAGGTATCATA